ATGTTTATTTTATTTACAAGTTCACTGTTCACATTTTATATTTTAATAGTTGGAGTCAAAACGGAAAACTATATTACGCTCTATCTATATGGTATTGAGCACTGTTTGTGTTTCGTAAACCAAAAACTTATATATATTTATATATATATATATATATATATATAATATATATATATATATAGCTTAAGATATATTCGTAAATAATGTGGTTTACGAAACGCAAAGAGTGCTCGATAACACATAGTCAGAGCAAAAATATCATTTTCGCTTACCTCAAAAAGTCTGCTACAGTCTCTATACGGATAAAACAGCCTGTAGCAGACTTTTTGAGGTAAGCGAAAATGATATTTTTGCTCTGACTATATGTTATCGAGCACGCTTTGCGTTTCGTAAACCACATTATTTTACGAATATATCTTATATATATATATATATATATAGCTTAAGTTTTTGGTTTACGAAACACAAACAGTGCTCAATACCATATAGATAGAGCGTAATATAGTTTTCCGTTTTGACTCCAACTGTTAAAATATAAAATGTGAACAGTGAACTTGTAAATAAAATAAACATACCAGTTTGTCCAAGTTTTTCGGCTATTTCTTGCATCGATCTATCACGCAAATCTCTATTTTTAAAATCGCGACTCCTCACGTCATAAAGGCAAGGGTAATCTGGCCAAATATCGGCGATTTTGTCTTCCAACAATGCTTCGGACACCACAACGCTACTTGTCGCCATTTTGGTTAATTGAAAGATTCATGTAGCACGCATGCGTATTGGCATCATATTGTAAGCTGTTTGCTTTTCCTGCCCGCACACTTAAAGATAATCGACACTCGTGTCAAAAATTAATCAACATGTTGAACATTCAGTGCTAATGGCAGGCATGCCGGAAATCTCTCAAAACGTCCCCGCACACCTGAGAAACTTGCTTACGCCAACAGTCACGCGTGACGCTCAGCTCAGCTGATAGCTCTAGTGTGCGGCGGGCTTTATGATAAAAAAGTAAGGTCACGAAACTTGAGAAGTTGAAGTTGAATGAAGAGAGGGTTAGTATGATCCTGATAGGTTGGAAAATAAATAAATAGCTAAAATGAAAAAACTAGCTAAAAATGCGCGAAAAGTAAAGGCTATATAGCCTTTGCCAAAAATGGCCAAAATGATAAAATATATATCTGATAAAACACTCCTACGCGTGCTTAAAAATAGTACGTATAATTTGATCTTACTGAGGGTAAAAATACGGAGGTAAAAATATTATAAATGTAGAATAAAAAACTATAATTAGACTAGTTCGAAGAGACTTGATATAATGTTTGTATTAGTATTACACCTTGGAATATTAAAAAAGTTTGGATTTCTTAAGTTGTAAGTATTTGAATGCTTTGTAGGCATAAAGAGATGGTGAATTATATGTTTGTCATTCACTATTGTTTTGAAGACTGTAGTACATAATCCTTTTCTTGTCTTCAAAGTGGAATTCCATATCTAATTCTTCAATGGCTTCTGAATACAAGTCAGGGCATACGATACGCAAAGGCTCTCTTGTGAATCTGCTCTATTTGGTCTGAAAGATATTCCGGGAGACCGTAATAATATATCTTTTATAGAAGCAATGTTTCTACATTTTAAATCATTGTCACTAAGACCCTCTTTAGTTGTTTCATCAGATACAGTCGCTTCGCTGCTTTAGTTGGGCATTCTACTAATTCATGTCTTGAGTGATCAATAAACCGAGAATCAATTGCTTTTTCAATACGCTCTACCAGCTTCAACACGCTCTACGTTTCAGTGTGAAGTATTGTTGCGTGTGCATATAACCCAAATCCAAACGACCGTTATGATACGACAGTGTTCCAGGAATTTAACCTAGAGACGCAAATGTACTGCACTGTTTAATAGTCCTTTTCCCCCTTTTAAGTGAAATTTTGATCTTGACAAGTCTGGACAAAAATTTCATCACAGCTTAAAATCACAAAATTAGTAATATTCCAAAGTTTCGTTGCGAAATGTTGTAAAATGCGGATAATATAGCCCTGCGAAGTTTGCCGCTTTTCAGTCATTTTGTATTACAAACGAGAAATTGATAATCAGATGATCAAACTGATTATCAATTTCCATTTGTAATACAAAATGACTGAAAAACGGCAAACTTCGCAAGTATCCGCATTTTGCAACGAAAGTTCAGAGTATTACTAATTTTGCGATGCTCTTTCAAGCTGTGATGAAATATTTGTCCAGGCTAGTCTAGATCAAAATTTTACTTAAAAGGGGAAAGGTCTATTGAGGGGAATTAGCCTTTCTCACGAGAAGGCGAAATTCGCCATTCTGGGGTACTTTATTAAAAACGAAGCAATGTGAAAACAGTTTTTCAAATATTCAACTTAATTTTTAATGATTACTTGCAAACAGACAGTCTAAAGGCAAGGGTCCCAAATGTTACCTTTGTGGAAAGTTTGGACACATTAAACGAAACTGTCGAGAACTGAATAGTCTAAAACATGATGGGGATAAAAGTGAGTTTAATGAGGGTATTGACAACAAACATAAAGCTAACACCTACTGCAGCCAAATCCAGACGAACAGACAGCAGCTCAGATAGTGATGAAGTGGGATTGATGGTGAATCATGCATTTAGTTCTGTAAACGGGAGAACAAATACATGGATAATTGATTCTGGAGCAACTTGTCATATGTGCAATGATGCGAGTCAGTTTGTGAAATTGCATAACTTGGAAAAGCCTGAAGATGTTACTCTTGCAGATGGTCATGTTGTCAAAGCAACTGGACGGGGAGTCGTTAAAACAAAAATAGAGTCTCCAAATGGCCAAAAGGGAAAGAGTTGTGTACTGCAAGATGTTCTTTATGTTCCAAGCTTATCGAATAACCTAGTGAGCGTGTCTAAAGCTACAAAGTCTGGAAAGACTGAAGTTTAATGAAGATGGATGTCACATTCTTGATGAAAGTCAAAAGCGGATTGCCACTGCTAAAAGAGTAGGAAACCTATATTACCTGAATTGCACGAACAGTCATCAAGCAAACCCTACTGTAGGATATTCAAGCATGGGAAGAAAAGAGGTCACCTGGCACAAGCGATTTGGACATCTCAGTCACAGAATAGGAAGTTATACCAGAAGCGTAACTCGAGCAAATATTTGTCCGCGTTTTTACAAGCGATTCGTCATCAATCACGCCATCCTGGCTAGTACAACCGGCACTTTGTACCTACCAAATCCTGATAAAAACTTCCGGCTGTACTAGCCAGGATGGCGTGGCCTGACGTGAGAGAGTTAAAATTTTCGTGGACGTCAAACAATAAGGGAAACGACTAGAGTTACGCTTCTGGTATAACTTCCTATTCTGTGTCTCAGTGTTCAAAACCTCCAAAAGTTGGCAAAAGAAAACCTGGTTGATGGCTAGGACTATGACAAATCAAAGGACATTGATTTCTGTGAATCTTGTGCTGAGAGAAAGCATCATCGAAGTAAATTCCCAGTCAACGAAAGTCAACGTGCTAAAATGCCCCTTGATTTGGTACACAGTGATGTATGTGGTAAAATGAGTGCAAAATCGCTTAGTGGAACTGAGTACTTTCTGACATTTATCGATGATCACACTCACTATGTATGGATTTATGTCTTGAAACACAAAGACGAAGTCTTTGGAAAATTCTTGGAGTGGAAAGCCTTAGTCGAGAAATCCTCTGGCAGAAAGGTTAAAGTCTTCCGCACAGACAACGGGGGGAGTACACCTCGACAGAGTTTGAGAATTATCTGAAGAAAGAAGGGGTAACACACCAATTAACTGTGCCCAAGACACCGGAACAAAATGGAGTCGCTGAAAGGATGAACCGGACCCTGGTGGAATCGGTTAGATCCATGTTAGCAGATGCTAAACTCCCGCACAAGTTCTGGGCTGAAACACTCTCAACTGCTGTTTATCTTAGAAACAGAAGTCCCTCAGTTGCAGTCAAAGGAAAGACTCCTTTTGAAGCCTGGACAAGTCAGAAACCTAATGCGAAGCATCTACGAGTGTTTTGATGCGAAGCGTATGCTCATGTGCCAAAGGACGAAAGAAAGAAACTTGACTCGAAAGCCAGAAAATGTATTCTTCTTGGTTATGGCACTGAAACGAAGGGCTATCGTCTTTATGATGCAAATCGTGCAAGAGTCTTTCACAGTCGTGATGTCCAGTTTAATGAATCTTCACAAGAACCTGAAGTTGTGAAAGTACAAGAGCCAAAGCAAAACACACTTGTGGAACTTGAGTTTGAAGAGCCCATTGATGCCGAAGAGCCTGTTGTAAAGAAGAGCCTGAGCCTCAAAAGTTACGAGGAGGTCAGAAAGAGATCGAAGACCACCTGCCTACTATGGAGAGTGGGCAACAGCTGCAAATCATGATAAAACGAGCCAAGGACCGTGAAAGAGGCTTTGTCAAGTCCACAAAAGGCAAAATGGGTGAAAGCAATGGAAAAAGAAATGGAATCCCTTAAAACTAACGAAGTATGGAACCTAGTTCAACTGCCCGAGAATCGTAAAGCCGTTAGCAGCAAGTGGGTATTTCGAGTTAAAACAGATGCGGACGGAACAGTTGAAACACACAAGGCCCGGCTCGTAGCTCAAGGTTTCAGTCAAACATTTGGTGACGATTATGATGAAACATTTTCACCTGTAGCTAGGTTTGAATCAGTTCGAACAGTAGCGTTAGCTGCACAGCATGGTTTAAAGCTTCATCAAATGGACGTCACAACAGCATTTCTGAATGGAGATCTCAAAGAAGAAGTCTACATGAAACAACCGGAAGGTTTCACTGAGAAGGGAAAAGAACACCTGGTCTGCAGGTTGTCTCAATTTTTACTGACTTGGAATGTAACCATAGAAGGACCACAGGCAAAGCATGCTGGTATTCTTTTTCGATTTGGGCCATTTTGTTTCAAGTGTTTATCCCTTGTCCTTTTGCTTAGGTTGCATCGGTGCCAGATTTCGCTACCGTATACTTTATTTTTTACTCTACTGACGATTTTTACGAACTCAAATGGAACCGAGCAGTAGATTAGAACGTTTAGAATCAATTTAAAATCTTTTTATGAAATGAAACTTTGTTGCAACTTCTATCAAACGTTTGTGACAAAGTAGTTTGAAGGAAAATTTGATAAAATAAGTAAAAAAAACCGCCTGTGGTTGCATTTGCATTTGGAAAAGTTTTTACATGTGAAAACGTTTTCTTATATACGTTTTTTAAAAGTCTTTCCTTTCAATATTTTGTACGACATTTGAATCGTTTCGGTTAATAGTCGGGGTTAAAATTTTAAATCTTGAAAACAGTTGAAACTAAATTAAAGCAAAATTAAATTAAGTCTGTTTTCTATAAATATGTTTTTGACCACTTCACAAGTTTGGCAAGTTTGAAGTAAACTTTGAATAATAAGTCCGAAACCATGGAAGGATTGCCTGTCACCCCCCCCCCCCCCCCC